GCCTGGGCTGCTGTCACCACGTTCCCCCCAATCACCTGGAGGTGGGGATACCTGGGTGAGCAGGTCCAGGTGGTGTTTGTCATCATCACGGGTGCCCACAGCTGCCCCGCCCAGCAGCTGCTTGGGGGAATCTTTGGAGGCCAGAAAGTAGTCTCGGTTCTTCTTCAGGTCAGTGCAGGCGATGATGAACACCAGCTCATCTCAATCATTGACAATACGCAGCTTCCCTTTCTTGCTACATTTCAGTATCTCTTTTGCCTCTTTCAATGTCACGCCTGCTGGAGCCACCAGCAGCTCAATCCTTGGCGTCATCACCTCACTGAGGAGGGTGGTGTGGTCCTTCTCAGCAAGAAAGTCAATGTCTCGAGAAGTGACGATGCCCACCAACTTGCTGCCCATGGTGCCCATCTCGGTGATGATGCCAGAGAAGCCATGCGACATCTTGGCCTCCAGCACATCACCCACAGTGTGCAAGGGGCTCAGCACCATGGCCTGCCTGTTCAAACTTCTTGATCTTCTGCACCTCCTTGGCCTGAAACTCTGGGGTGCACTTGTGGTGAATGAAACCAATACCTCCCATCAGAGCCATCGCGATGGCCATGTCAGCCTCTGTCACAATGTCCATGGGGGAGGAGATCAGCTGCGTCTTCAGCGTGACCTTCCGGGTCAGGGCTGAAGTCAGGTCCACCTCATCAGCTATAAAGTCTGTGAATCCTGGGAGAATCAGGAAGCCCTTGTAGGTGAGGCTGTTGGTGCTGGCAAAGAGCTGCTGCACAGTGAGCCCATCCTTGGGCACACAGCTGGTGCTGCCGCTGATCAGGTAGTCCGAATGCTGCTGCCAGACCCCGAGACCCGACATAAACACCTGCGCGGCCGCCCGCTGCTGCTGTTGCTGCTGCTGCAGGCTGGGCGGGCCGGGGGCGTGGGCAGTCTAGTTTTACGATTACATTTCTGTGTTATCATTTACGCAGTCCCCTCTCTCTTCTTAAGGTAATAACTTCTTTTAAAGGTTTTTTTTTTTTTTTTTTTTTTTTGAGACAGAGTCTCTCACTGTCACCCAGTCTGGAGTGCAATGGCACAATCTCGGCTCACTGCAACTTCTGCCTCCCGGGTTCAAGCGATTCTCCTACCTCAGCCTCCCAAGTAGCTAGGATTACAGGCATCTGCCACCACGCCTGGCTAATTTTTGTATTTTTAGTGGAGATGGGGTTTCACCATGTTGGCTAGGCTGTTCTCAAACTCCTGACCTCAGGTGATCCACCCGCCTCAGCCTCCCAAAGTGCTGGGATTACAGGTGTGAGCCACCACGCCCAGCCTAAAGTTTTTATATTCTATCTTTTCTTTAAAAAATAAGCTAAATGGCTGGGCACAGTAGCTCACGTCTGTAATCACAGCACTTTGGGAGGCCAAGGTGGGTGGATCACGAGATCAGGACATCAAGACCATCCTGGCCGACATGGTGAAACCCTGTTTCTACTAAAAATACAAAAAATTAGCTAGGAGTGGTGGTGTGTGCCTGTAGTCCCAGCTACTTGGGAGGCTGAGACAGGGGAGTCGCTTGAACCCACAAGGTGGAGATTGCAGTGAGTGGAGATCGCACCACTGCACTCCAGCCTGGTGACAGAGTGAGACTCAGTCTAAAAAAAAAAAAAAAAAAAGAAAGTTAAACAATGGCATATCATACCATACATAATTTTCTGTGCCATGCTTTTTTCATTCAACTTTATACCTTGGTGATTACTCTATGGCAGTTTACAGAGGTGCTCCTCATTCCTTTTTTATAGCTGCATATTACTTCATCATGTAGACATTACATAACATATTCAACGAGTCCCCTGCTGATAGACATTTGAATTGTTTAAAGTTTGTTGCTATTTTAGGTAGTATTGCAATGAATAGCCAGTATGTCTCTTTGTATTTTTGCCAGAGTATCTTTGGGATAGAATCCTAGAAGGAAGACTGCTGGGACAAAAGATAATTGCATCATAATTTTGCTACAAATTGCAGAAGTGCTTCTTTTAAATGCAATGTATTTCTGGAAATTTTGTCATAAAAGAAATCCTGAAACAGATCCTATTTCAGTTATCTACTGCTATATAACAAATCATCCCCAAAAGTATGGCTTAAAACAACAACTACCATTTATTATTTGTCATGATTGTGCAACTAGGGTGGGACTCATCAAGAATGGCTTGTCTGTGCTTCATGGGGTGGCTGCTTCATGACTCCAGAGGAAGCTGGGATAGTTTGGCTAGACCTAGAGAATACAAGATGGCTTTATTCACCTGTTTTGTACCTCACTTGCAGTGGCTGGAATAGTTGGGTGCTAGGTACACTTCTCTCTCTCCATGTGGTCTTACATCATCCAGAAGGCCAAGCTTCTTAAACATGGTGTCCAGATCTCAAGACAGCAAAACTGGAAGTTGAAAGGCCTCTTAAGGCCCAAGCCCCAAAGTTAGGTAACATCCCTTCTACTGAATTCTATTAGCCAAAGCTATTCACATGGCCATCTATATTTAAGGGGAGAGGAAACAGACTCCATCTCTTGTTGGGAAGAGCAATGTACACATACAAAGATGAAAGAAATTGTTAATGGTCATCTTTGCAGATAATCTACCACAGATCCCAACTACATATATGCATTATATAGGCCATAAATATATGTCCTATTCTTATCTACTTGAGTATCAGCAGAAAACTGTGGAAAGAGTCCATAAAGGTGATATGAAGTGAAACACTTCTGCATAGGGTGGTGTTAAAAAAGGGACCAAAAGTGGAGGTTATGTCTACCAAGGAAAAGGGTGAAGGTCTTGCTTTTAGGCAGGGCACTTAATCATCTATCTAGACAACTATCAGCAGCTTTTATATTCCTTTATTCTATTTGTGTTTATTCAAGAATACTGTTTCAGACTCAAAGAGTACAGTGATGAACATAACAGACAAATCCTAGCTCTTGTGGTATTTACATTCCAAATGGGGAAATACAGACCATGGTAAGGGATAGAAAGATATATAAGAATATCCTGCCCTTGAGGAAATTATAATGTTGTTGAAAGTGGGGGTAAAAGGCAATCATTGCCTAGTTAGAGATAACAAGAAGACAAATACAAACTTTGTATAAAGAGAGGTAAACACACACATATTAGAGCATCTGTTCTGCATAAGTAGCTACACCACCAGGAGGAATGTCTGTAAAGGTCCAGAAAGTAACGAGGAAGAAGAGTTAGGAGAAGGAGGGATCACTGTGGCCTGGGGGAGTCAGGGAAGACTTATGATGAGAGAGAGAGGCATAGGGGAACCAGAGCCTTTCGTTGTGTATCTGATGACATACTGGCAAGTCCCAGGGGCTGGTGTGATTAGAGCTTCTCACCAGGATAGCTTCCTTCTAAGATGGCCTCCCACTACTTGCTGAGAGAGGAAGACAAAGTGGGTTTTTAAAACTGGCTGATTTACCTGGTAAATAATGTACTTCTAGTCTATAAAATATTGTATTTTTCAAAGGCAAAAATGTTCAAGGGTTAGTCCTTGCTGCTCATATCGACATGCTCTCCCTTGATGAGCTCACTCAGTCTTGTGGCTTTACATAGCATCTAAATGCCAGTGACTCACAGAAGGGTAGTATCTTCAGTTCTGACATCTTGCCATACTCATATCAACCATTTTATCTACACTTCCATTTGGAGATCTAACAGGCACTGTAAGCTTCACGTGGATAAAACCAACTGCTTGATTCTCCGTAGAAAAACTCTGCTCCTCTCCCAGTTTCCTTGTTAGTGGCACTACTACCACCAAATTACTCAGACCAAAGCAATGGAGTCTTGCTTGTTTTTTCTCTCACTCCATATCCAATCAGCTGTTGAACAACAGTTGAAGAACAGCAGCTGAACAATCCTGTTGTTCTATCCTTTGAATATATCTCTCAAACTGTCAAACTCCTAGCCTCAAGCTATCCTTCCACCTGGGCCTCCCAAAGCACCACCACACCCAGCCTACTAGAATATATCTCAAACTCAATTACTGCTCAATACTTCTTCCCCTGCACCAGCCCACCATCAACACTCATCTCCTAACTGATCTCTTGCTTCCTCTCATGCTATTCTCACTCTATTCCCTACAAAACTGTCTGGGGAAACTTTTAAATATACGGTCACTTAAAATCCCTGACTAAAACTCTTTAGAAAAAAAAGGAAATAAAATTAGAGGAAGAAAACATGGCCAGAAAAGAAAAGAAAAGAAAAAAAAAATCTATAATGACTTATCATAGTAATTAAATTAAAATTCAAACTTCTACCCTTACAATTTTCCAGCCACACGGACCTTTCTTATGTTTCTTAAACATGCTGAACTTGTTGCTTCCTTGGGAATTTTACATTGCTCTTCCCCAGAATGCTGCTTCTCCAGATCTTTGGCTGAAAACTCCTTATTTTCTAGTTCTCAGCATTCAGGGCACCTTACAGATACCTTTCCTGACTATCCTATCTAAAGAAGCCCACAACCAAAACTCACTAACCAAGGCACAGTGGGTACGTTGATAAATATAACAGACAAGGTCCTAACGCTCGTGGCACTTATTTTCCAAATGGGGGAAATGCAAAACATGGTAAGAGACATCTTGTTACTCTGTTTTATATTCTTCAAACGTTGATCATGTTCTGAAAAAATATCTTATGTATTCATTTTCTTGTTCATGTCTATCTTCGCCATTCAGTATATATTAACAAAAGGAGATAGGACAGATACCTTAGCTATCCTGCGCTCCACAATGCCACTAGGCCTTACAGTAAGTACCTAGCATATAGTTGGATCTCAGAGTATCACTGAATATGCTTTTACATGTTCAAAAATACGGGAGTAACATCACAGCTATAAAGGAAAAACTCATTATAGTGGAAAAACTGTTAATGAACCCCTTTACCCAAATAATATCCTTCCCAACCTTGACATCTAATCCAACCCCAAAATTTTCCGATGTCAAGGGTTCGTGGACCCATTCCTTATATTGGCTACCAGGGAAATGTATGTCAGCCTAATTACATCAGAGCAACACACATTTCCTGGAGGGCAACACACTTCTTTGCTTCCTGTAAAAATGTATTCAAAGTTGTGTTAAACAATATTGTTATAGTTACGGATTCTTGTGGTATTTTCTTTGTTCCTTTGACATAAGCAATTGTGACCTAGCTAGAACCAAGTAGAGATAATGGAAAGACAAACAAAAATTTAGGAAAGTGGACAAAAGCAAACACAGATTAGGCCATCTGCTCTGCATTATATGATCTAACACAAACAACAATGAACCTGACTTTATATTCTGATGCTGGACAAATTATGTAGTCCTTCATGGTTCACGTTCTTCTGTCTGTAAAATCTGGACACTTGTGCTTATTTATTCTCCCCAATTTCCGTGTGAAATAGCTATTATTTTATTTCACAGAATTATGAAATGTTAGGCTCTGCGGAAGCTTGAGAATCATCTCATCTGTATCCAAATGTGGAGACTGAGGCCTGATGAGGTTAATTGATTTACCCAGGCTCATAGCTAATTATTGACAAACCTGGAACTTATAATAGAAATCGGATTTTCTGACCCTTAGGCAAGTGGGCTTTCTGCCTCACTATACTGCAATGTTTGCCTTAGTGTTTCGCTTTTGATGGAGGAGTGTATTATCTTCCAATTAGTATGTAATCCTTGAGGATGTGATAAGCTGTTCTTCCCACAGTAATTAGTTGGCCACATGTAAATAAATATTTATTAAATAAAGGAATGGTTTGCCATCAGTCCATGGCACCTGCCACCCTCTCTATGTTGCAATCATCTGCTGACCTTTCAGTCATTTCCTCTCATTCATTCAAAATTTTAGCATACAGGTCCCTGTCTTTCCACTGTGACTTGTTATTCTTGGTGACTTCAACAAGCACTAAACGATACATCTGACACTCTGGTCACTCAGTTTCTTGACTCCTCACCTCTCATGATCTTTTTCTCCACTCCACCTTAGCTACCCACTTCCATGCTCACGTACTATTACTCTAAAACCTTGATTTTAGGCATTCCATTATTTGACTACCTCCTTCTGTCTTCCTAGTTCACTTATTCTAATACACCCACTCTAACTCTTCTTTAATCCCATCAGGAACTCTGATCCTTTGGCCTCATCAATTTTTCATGGGCCTTCCTTTCCTCACTCTCCTCTTTATCCAGCCTAGATTCCATGGTCCATTACTGTAATCATCCTAGTTAAGGGTTTGTCAGTGTATACCCCTAAGGCCCTTACCACATTCTTTCTCCATCATACTGTCCTAAAAAAAAAAAAAATTCCAATCTTGGTTAAAGCCAACTCTCTGCTTGATCTTTCACTGCACTAAAGCATGATATGAACCCTGATAAAACAGTTGCAATTGTGCTGACTGGTTAAATTTATGATCACAAACTATAGGAGTGTCTTCGGCAGTGCCCAATAATTCTACATTTCCTTGGCCAACCCTCTCCTTTTCTAGACAGCTTTCTCTCCCTTTAAACCATATACTCTTGATGCCCACTCCTCAATTTTACCTGATACCTTCATCTATTGATTTGCTAGGGGAAAAAAATAAAAGTAAGCAGAAAAGAGGTACTAGAATCTTTTCCAATAATCTATCTTCCCCATCCCTCAACCTCCACCATTTAAAATGGTGCTAAATTTAGTATTTAGCTCTTACTAAAGGCTAAACTCCGTTGAGAGACAATTCTCTAAGAGTCTCTCACATTTCCTTGTTCCAGACTATGTAATCAAGGATTGAATGTTTCATAGCCCTGGAAGATAGAGATAGTGTCTGCCTCTGGAACAAACAGCAAGAATGTTTACTGTTCAATATAATAAAAACAATGTGTCTGGAGCAAAGGGTACACACCTTTATTGCCCAATATAAAAGATTCAGGTTCCCTAAGTTCAGACTTCCTCACTTGTAGTGCAACTCATTGCATATGCAGGTGTCACCTGGCCCTCTTCACATTGATCTGAGGAATTGGGGTGCAGGGAACTGGTGGTGTGAGAAATCAAAGCCTCTGTCTTTGACCCAGGAGTTTCCCGTTTGCTGAGCATCCATGAAATAGTGGCAGGCTAACTTGTTGGCTTACAAATACAATAAAATCTCAGACCCTTCAGAGTTCCTGACATGTTTTACTTTTGAACTACATCTCATTTCCTCCTGCCTTCTTAAGGACTTTGTGCCTGCAGGTATCTACTCTCTCTTGCATCACCAACTTTTCCCCCTTTTAACTTTCAATTACTCCTCAGTCTATACATACAATATCTCCCATCTTAAAAGACAAAAATAACTTCCCTTAGGCATCTCATCTCTCTCCCTACCACTCCAAATCTCTGCTGTCCTTAATTTAAACAAAACCTCTTGGAAGAGTTGTCTGTATTCATTTTTTCCACTTCTTCACTTCTTACAATGAGTTCTGTTCCAAGTCATTCCAATTAGATTTTTATTTATGCTATTTTCTCAAAATACTTCCTAAGGTTGTCAACAAACTTCACATGGCCTAATCCAAAGGTCAATTCTCCTTTTCTTTTAAAGGAATTAGCAACACTCAACCAGTTGACCACTCTCTCATTGAAATACATTCTCTCTTGGTTTCTGGTTTCTCTTATCCCAGTCTCCTTTGCTGGCTCTTCCTACTTTATTGAGAAGATCACGTGGAGTTTTTTGGTGCTTTACTCCTCTTTCATTCTTGATTTTGGTAATTAGTAATGTTTTCTTGGTCAGTCTAGTTAAGGGTTTGTCAATTTTGTTGATCTTTTGAAATAAAAATCTTTTAGGGATTAAAATTTTTTATCTATTGTTTTTCTGCTCTAATATTTATTATTTTATTCCTTCTGCTTGTCTTGGGCTTAGCTTGCTCTTTGTTTTCTAGTTTCTTAAGATGGAAGCTTATGTTTTTCATTTGTCTTTTCTTCTTTTCTGATATAGGTATTGAAGTTATATTTATTTCTAAGTACTACTTTAGATATATCCCATAGATTTTGATGTTGTGTGTTTGTTTTCATTCAGTAAAACTTAATTTCCCTTGTGATTTCTTTGACTCATGGGTTATTTAGAAGTGTGTTGTTTAATTTCCAAATATTTGATGTTTTCTCAGGTTTCTTTCTCTTACAGATCTCTAAATTCCATCGTGGTCAGAGCACGTGCTTTGTACAATTACAACCTTTTTACAAATTTTATTGAGACTTGTTTTGGGCTCTATTACAGAGTCTATCCTGGAGAATGTTACATGTGCACTTGAAAAGAATGGGTACTCTGAAGTCATTCAGTGGAGTGTTTTATAAATATCAGTTAATTGATAGTGTTGTTAAAGTCTTTGTTTTTATCAATTATTGAAAGTGGGGCACTGAAATATTTTTAAAATAATTCTTATTGTGTATATTTAAAGTATATAAATAATATGATTTTGCAAAATACATATAGATAATAAAATAGTTCCTATAGTGAAGCAAATTAACATATCCATCATCTCACGTAGTGTGTGGCACTCACATTTTGTGTGGCAAGAGCAGCTATGGTCTACTCATTTAGCAAACATCTCCAATGCAATACACAACTATCAGCTATAGTCCTCATTTTGTACATTAGATCTCTAGACTTATTCATCCTACAGCGTTATATCATTTGAACTATATCTTCCATTTTCTCTCTTCCCACCTTTCTCCTAATAACCACTGTTTAGTCTGTATCTCTGTATACTTGAAATTTTTAAAAGATTCTGTATATTAATGAGATCATACAATATTTTTCTTTCTGTGTCTGGTTTATTTCTCTTAGCCTAATATCTTCCAGGTTCATCCATACTGTGGCAAACAGCAGGATCCCTCTTTTTTTTTTTTTTTAAGACAGTCTCGCTGTGTTGTCCAGGCTGGAGTGCAGTGGCACGATCTTGACTCACTGCAACCTCTGCCTCTCAGGTTCAAGAAATTCTCCTGCCTCAGCCTCCCAAGTAGCTGGGTCTACAGGTGCCCAGCACCATGCCCGGCTAATTTCTTTTTACATTTTTAGTAGAGACGGGGGGTTTCACTATGTTGGCCAGGCTGGTCTTGAACTCCTGATCTTGTGATCTGCCCACCTCGACCTCCCAAAGTGCTGAGATTACAGGCGTGAGCCACTGTGCCTGGCCAGGATCCCTCCTTTTATAAGACTGAATAATATTCCACTGTGTGAGTATATATAACACATTTTCTTTATTCATTCATCCACTGACAGACACTTAGGTTGTTGTCAAATCTTGGCTGTTCTGAATAATGCCACAAAGAACATGGGAGTGCAGATATCTTTGCAGGGATTTGAGTATATAACCAGAAAGGGGATTTCCGGGTCATGTGGTACTTCTATTTCTGTTTATGAACTTCTATACTGTTTTCCATAATGGCTGCAACAATCTACATTCCCACCGAAAGTGTACAAGGGTTCCCTTTTCTCCACACACTTGCCAATACTTACCTCCTGTCTTTTTGATAACAGCTATCCTAATTGATGTGAGATGGTAACTCGTAGTAGCTTTGATTTCCCTGATAATTAGTGGTGTTCAACATCTTTTCATATACCTATTAGCCATGTTTGTGTCATCTTTGGAGAAACAGGTCCTTTGCCCTTTTATATCAGCTTATATGTTTTCTTGCTATTGAGTTGTGTAAGTTCTGAAGTTTAGATATTAGCCCCTCAGCAGAGATATGGTTTGTAAATATTTTTTTCTCCATCTGTAGGTTGCCTTTTCATTTTCTTGTTTGTTTCCTTTGCTGTACAGAAGCATTTTAGTTTGATATAGCTCCATTTATTTATTTTTGCTTTTGTAGCCCAAGCTTTTGGCGTGATGTCCAAAAAATTATTGCCAAGGCCGTATCAAGCAGCTTTTTCCTTATGTTTTCTTCTAGGACTTTTATGGTTTCAGGTCTTATGTTCAGATCATTTACCCATTTTAAGCTGATTTCTGTGCATGGTAAAAGGGTCCAATTTCATTTTTTTGCATGTGAAAATCCAGTTTCCCCAGCACCATTTACTAAAGAGATCATCCCTTCCCCATTATGTCCTCTTGGTGCCCTTGT